AGTAAAATATACATATATATATATATATACTTGTAGTAAAAAAAATTTGTTGATTTAAACGTGAAATTAAATTTTTAATCTAATCCAAGTCTCCGAAAATTAGCACATGTGAAGACGTATATATTTAATTATTTTGAAAAAATATTAATATATGCATAAGAAAAAGTAAAAGGCAAACCAAAAAAATATTATAATGGTCCAACAACAAATTTTATTATTGAAATTAGTACTATTATTATTAAACTTAATAGTTGCTAATTGAACTATTATTATTATTATTGTCGTTGACCAAAAATTGTTGTTATATTATTATTACTGTTGTTGCCATGCACTATTGAATCATTATTATTGTATTATTATCATCATTGTTAATAATACTCCACGAAAATAAAAAATTTAGCCCGAGTCGTCATTGTTCTGAATATTAACATTGTCACTATTCGTTAAAATATGCAGAATGCTTATAGCCATCTTTCAAAAAATCGATGGGATCCATTGTCATTATAAACTTGTAATAGCTCTTTCTTGTAATCCTTTTTTAATATTTGGGCACTTCCTTGTGGGACAGTAAGCGAAAATTTTTATTACTACACATACACTATGCATGTGCACTATGTTCATTTGACACTACGCACGCTGTGCGCACTTGTGCGAAAAAAAAATCAAGTTTGCACATCACCGTACGAACAAAAGAAGCAAGGTCCATTTTTCGTGAATTGCACATTGAAATGTAAGTTCATTAGATGACATTAATGCCGATAATGATGACATAGTGCTGGTAGTTGTGTGGCATTATTATTATGATTTTTTGGATTGTTGTTGCTGATACTATTATTATATACTGCTACTACTATTACTACTATTAACGATCAACGTTTGTTAATAGTCGCGGGACATTGCAGATCAAGTGTCATTCAATATAAACGTTACACGAATAAATTATTATCGCCCACTTCAAAAAAAAAAATTCTCCGCTTTTCATATAGCAAGCGATTTTCAACCCATAATAAAATTTTTAGAGCCAGACTGGGACTTTTAACAACAGTCAAAAGAAAAGACTAGCTTAAATATTGGTTATTCTACGCCAGGTCGAAAGCGTTTCTTTTCTTCACACTTATTTTAAG